TTGCAAAATAAAATATACTTTCTCTTGTTCTCTTTATTTAAACTTATTTGTTTTCTAGCTTTGCAATTATTCTATTTCATATTTATATATATATATGTGTATATATATATTTATGTATATAATTCTATATTTTTAATTTATGTTTTAGTAATTTGTTGTTTTTATTTATTTTTATATGAATATTCAACGTTCTCTGAATTTTTTTGTATGTGCTTAGGCATGTGTACATGCATTACCAACTAAAATTTTCATACTTTTATCTATTTTATATATAATGCTTTTATGTTATAATGTATGTGTTTAATACATAATTGCGACCTTACGTCCGTTGTTTTATTTCCGATTCCAACCATTTTATTCTGATGTGGCTTTAACAATACAGAATGTGACAATTATATATACTCAGTACGTTAAGCACTTTGACGACCACTTGTGAACATTGCAAAACATATATAATAAAAGAATTTAGATATAAATGAATGTGAATAAAAATAATTTGAATACGAAATATAATCAAAGTTAATACTTTATAATAAAAATTCTTTAAATTATACTTAAAGCTATTGAAACCAGTAAGTACACTACATTCGAGAAAATTAGCAATAAAACGTTTTATAAAATTAAAAAGGTAATTGGTTAAGATGCGCTGACTCTGAGCTTCAAATTTGGCAGGGCACGAGTTCAATTCCTGGTAAATGCAGTCTCAAAAAATTACTTACAAATAATTAAATACAAGAATTATGGGGATGGGTATTTGGCAATACTCAAAACAATTAATTAAAATAACATAAAATGAATTTTTGTTGCTATAGGTCACTACTATTCGAAAAAACCCCTTTATAAAATTAAAAAATATAAAATATAAAAAATGGGTAAATTTCGATATTTCAAAATTATATGAAACAGACTACATAAATAATTACATATATAAAATTATGTAAGTAGCTAATCACAACAAAGAATAATAAAAATTTGGCATAAAGAAATTATATATTGATTTACATAATATCAAAAATAAATTACAAATTACATAATATCTAGCAATTACAAAACATTTAAAAATATTATAAATCAGAATGAACTATATTCTCAAAAGAACAATATGTTTACACTAGGAAAAAATAATACATGTCAAAAATATCTTTAAAACCGAAAACTCTCCTCACCTCAACAATGCTAGTATTGTAGAAGTACTCAACAAGATCAACTCAGATGCACCTCTAACTAAATTATCCGTACTGTATATGCATGACCTCATGAAATAACACCACTGTTAATTAATAGAATAGCATTTACTAAAAATACAATAAAATATTGCCTTAGAAAACAATTTTAACAAGATTTGAAAAGAAAATTACTTAAAAATAATTTTGAGTAATACTACATAAAACGCTCTAAATAGTTGTGCTATACAAACCCCCGATATTTACGGGGCGATTTGATGACGATTTTGCAAGTATTTATGGAAGCATTTGAAGTTCTTGTCCGATACCAAACTAGGGTTTGTCAAACTTACAAATTTCGAAATAAAAACATGGTAGATACCACTTCAATGAATCTCGGTACACTTAAACACAATATATATTTTTTTAAATGATTAAATAATTGGACCATATTCAGTAGATTGTGAAGACTTTTCTACATTTAATATGCTTCAAAACTTGATTGACTTCCATTTACTATTCAAAAATTGATATCGTAACTTTTCAGGAATTTACATATAACATAAATGACTAGATGGTGTTATATATTTTTATCTAGTTATGAACATCTAGCATCTTTTAGAAATACTTTTATGACATATTTCTAAATTAAAGCATATGACATTCTAACATTCTGACATTAAAGCGGGAACATTCTCAGAGTAAGAAAATATGAAATCCATCCACGTAATCTACTTATAAGTATTAGAGAGTAGCACAGAAAAATACAAGCGAACAAAGAATGTAATTACTTCATTGATGTAGAGTGCAATTAATTCGTTGAAACTGATTATACCAGCAACAGAGCTCTTTCATTACCAACACATGCTGCTCTAACTCAATGGCTTGTTCAGTTTATAATGGCTGCGACACATAGATAACAAACACACATTATTTGTGTCCTTTTTATTTTGACATTTATTATCTCCTTATTTTAAGTGTTTTTTCTGCTGCTTTTTAAATGTTATTTCAGTTTTTGTTTTTGTTTTTGTTTTTGTTTTTGTTTTTTTTTCGAGACATTTGTGGGAAAACATTGTTCGCTGGTGCTTTTGTAATGGTCATGTAATGCGCATAAATCTGACAATAGTTAAGGCCATGGATTAAGGATAGTTTTTAAAGTTCCATTTATTCCATGTGCATTATCAGGCACTGTTCTGTTTCCGTTTTAAATTACAATTAAAAAAATAATACGTGTGGGTGTTCAAGGGAGTGTTATAAGACCTGGAGTGTTGTAGGTCAGTAAGTTTGCAACGAATTACCACAGAACGTACAACGGTTTTATATTCAAAAGGGATATCATTTATTAGTTAAAGTTTAAAAAAGTCCGCAAAAGTAAAGTTCTTGAGAGTATTATTTGAATACATCACGAGCATAATAATGAATGACCTGCTTGATGGTTTAATAAGGTAAGATTATCAGAGCGCACCCTAACAGCCTCAGAGTACTTCTGATAAGAATAAGGAAGAAAAAAGTTAAGTAACAAGCATCGAAGCATTGTCAAAAATATTTACTGTATTCACGCTATCTATATGCTTGCCTACATATACATACAAATGCCTGAGTTTCACCAGTTACCGTGAGTTCGAAGAAGCCTATGTCGCTAAAATATTGGAATGCTATTATCGTATGTGTCCCCAAAATAATAATGTTCATATTTTCGTAAAAATTGTTATCGACATTAATTGGTTATAAGATTTCTTTTGTGGACTTTGGTTCTTTTGTTTGTTTTATATTACATTTAATAATTTTGAAAAATGTGAAAAATCACTAATATGAATTATTAATTTCAAACAGGAATTACTTATTTACTTATTTATAATAGATATTTTGGTACATCTACAGTATTGCTGTGTTTTTATTAATTAAACAAAATTCAAATATAGTCCCTTGTGGAAATAACGGAGCCAATAGATTTATGTTGGTACACAAACATAATGTGATCTATACAATACCCTATCTATTGACCGAAAATTGGATCTAGCAACACATTGCACAAATCAGGAGGAGAAAACATTTTATAAGCAGAATGTTGCTGAAAATGCTGCCCATATTACAATAGATTATTACAATAGATATACAAAGGGTTTTGTATAAATTCATTGGTCCGATATTATTTGTTAAGCTAATTTAATTATTAATATACTAAAAGCTTTTTCAATTTGACAAAGAATAACATTACGCATCCTATGGAGCCACTTAGGCCCATTGCCTCAGTGTCATAAGGACAATAAATCATAAATCATTTGGAACCCTTAATACAGTATTAAAGAAGAAGTTTCGTAGCTAATAAAGATCAGTAGAAAGTGAATTCTTAAGGCTTTTAATTTTCATCGTACATACGCTGAACAGTGTTGAAGCAATGTCTTCGAAAATCATTAAAATCTCCGTCTTTAGTTGCAAACTGTGACTTAAGTCACTACTTATATATCATAACTTAAAATAGGTACATGACATATAGGTGAATGTAGTAGAATAATACAAAATGTCTCTTTATATGTCAACGCCAATTTACGCAACAAAGCAGCTGTGTGAAGTGACTTTTTTAATTGGCTAAGAAATCTCCTAATTTTCGTTCCACGTTGTTGCAAACTCCTCTTGCCTTTGTAATGAGTGGCAGAACGACCATGATGAATGGTATTAAAAGTCATTTTGTATGCAGTACTGTATAATTTGGAGCATAGAATTATGTATGTGTCGCATTTTAACCAATGTATTTATATACTGCGACATGGAGCTTAATATGCGATATGGATACTTTTCATTTTATTTATTCCTTATGCACAATTTTCCATAATCTCATTAAATTTTCCATCAACTTCATATAATTAAGGCAGTAGCAGCAGTTGTTGTGCAGTTTCCCTTCATATTAGCTAATGGAGTGCTTAACATGTCAACGCTTGATTATCGCATTCTTTTACAGACTTTCTTCTACTCAAACATTTGGAAAATTTTTCCCCTCCCTTTTTCTTTAACAATTTGCCACTGCTTTAATACTTTTAACATTTTAGCAACTATTTTTGTTTTCTTTGTTTTTTTGTCTTAATATTTAAGGCTCTTATTTAATTGCCTTCAAGGCAATAAAGCTTTTGACATTTAATTTAAACGTCAAATTATGTACGCCAAACCGAAATGTACAAAAATAGCTGCAATGATAATTTCTCTGTGCTTCTTGCTATTAAAATTTAACAAGAAAAAATCCTTTTTGAAATTTTGACAGCTGCTAATGGGTGTTTACCTCACCCCACCCCACTCCACTCCTATTCACCAGTCTCGATGGGCTTGATATGAATTTCGGTTTTGTTATTTTAGTAAATTCTTGGTAAATTGTATCATAATTGTGATTGTAGTAAATTGAAGTGGAAGAGAATGCTAAATTTAAGATTTAATAGTACTTAAAGGAAAATTTTGTGGAGTAATGTGATGTTTGAAAGGAATTTCAATTTGTTCTATGAGTTGTTATAAAACATCGCTGGCAATGTCTTATTTCTCGCTTTTTTGCTTTTATAAAATATTCCATTAATTCTATTAAATTAACAATTATTATATTTTAGTTTTTAAGATCAATACACTTAATTGTACACAAACCAAGCACATACCAAATTTGAAAAACCCTACAAAATCAATACATGTGCAAATAATCACTCATACGCCCCGTGTACTCCGATCAGCCATATACAATACAAAATTTTTTTAAACTTTATACAAAAAAAAAATTTAATAAAATTTATTTTCAGCATTAACAATTTTACTCATTCATATTTTTTCTTAACAGTTCGCAAAACTTTATTATAACAACAATTAGACTTAAATAAATGTTATCTTAATATTTCCTTTTCAATTTTATTAATTATTAGAAACACTGTTGCTACTAACATATTCTTACTTTGTGACTAGTGAGTCCTGTTAATTGATGTCCTGTTCATAATTATTGTTGATTTTTTGGTGTGTAATCAATAGTTTTTATAATTTATAATTTTTTCATTTTTGATATTTGTATTCCTGTCATTCGTCTTTGCACAATTGTTTTTCCATGAATATTTTTGACCTATTTAAAATTGATTTTGAAGAATATTTATTTTTAATACTTTACTAGTTTCAGTTTGTTTAGGCCTCATCTCAGAGATAATTTGGTCTCGAAACGCAACATAACAAACCCATATTCTTATATATCGAATTACGTCTACGTTTCGTTGTCCATGGGCCAGTAGTATCTAGAGCAGCATTACGTTCTGTAATAATAAAGAAAATTATTAAAGAAACAATTGTTATGAATAAATTATAGTTCAGTTTCCTTAAAAATTATTTCAAATAAGTTCTGATACTGATACTGATAATAATAAAAATTTATGCAATGCATATAATCATTAATAGTAAAAAATTTTAATAAAAATTGTTATTAGCCATTAATTCAGCAAAATGGATTATTTTGTATTAATATAATTATTATAATTAAAATTGTTAATTAAAAATTTTAATTAAATTTAAAACCCTAACTGCAGTCATAATAGACAGTCACAAAGCGGTTAAAGAAACACCAGCAATTGATCAATATAACTCCAATGCTACTTTCTTTCAGAAGCATAACTTAACATTGAAATATTCACTGTAATTTATAATTTATATTTATAATTTATATTTAAGTCTAAAGGTAGTAATGAAATTTGTCCCATATAATAATTTGCCTTTAAACGTATATTTCAGTCGGAGACGCTGAAATTTCGCTTTTCCTTTCCTTAATAACTTGCGTCCACATCCTTGTTTACATTCCAAAATATAATATCTTGTTAACACTGCTGTTTTAATTCAATTCCTAAATGTATCATAAGTTTTAAGTATTTCTGGAGACAATTATCTGCGAAAGTTAATAACTTCCTGTCTAAAATTACTTTTTATTATGTAGTTAATCCTTGATCTTGGTTAATGCATCTAAAATCTGCATCGATATTTAAAAGCTGCTTTTTAGGATATTTAAAGCAACCCCAAAAATTTCCTTTTATATCGCGCTACAAAGTAATACTCATACATTACGATAGTTCTCGTATCGTAAAGACGATAATCTTTCTTATCGTCTTTTTTTTGTGAATCAGAGCAAGAAGACAGAGCAAGAGTAAGAGTAAGAGTTTAAGAGTAAAGATATCACTCAAGTGGTAGGTTTGTTGATGGGTCATAGTGGAATAGTGAAAATATTCCTTATATATAAATCTCCCATAGGATCCCTTCATGTTCCCTTCATGAAAAATACAGCCGAAGTTTATTGAAATATAATATGCCCATAAAGAAGGCCGCCACGTCATTTATGACTCACTTGCATGTCTGTTCACACTCCCCTTTGTATGCAGAGAGCAAACACGTGAATAAAATCAAAACATGAAGCGGAAATGGAAATGGAAATGGAAAGGGAAGGGAGTAAGGATATTTTATTCTAATTATGCAAGAGAAAATACTAAAACTAGAAGCAAAATACGAAATAATTAAAAAGTACATTGCACACTGCAAAAATATCCGTGCTGCAATAAAACTGAAACAAATTAAAAGCAATAAAAATAAATGCAAAACATCCTCAAAAAAGAAAAGTGAATAAGCAAATATGCAAATAACAGAAATGTTAAATGGCGCAACAAATAATAAAGTAATTTTTTCCTTACATTTCTGCATTAAAGTTAATTTGCATTTTGCATGTGTGGGGCTGCATGAACTGCCATGCACAAATCTGAGGACCACTTGATCTGTTCAACTGACATACACTTTGGTTTGCATCAAAATACTTTAACTACTTAACAAAAACTAAAGTGAACACTAATAATATGTTAGGTGTAATCACTTTGATAATAATACTTCACACATGCATAATGTACGTTTCCGAGATCTTCTCGGACAGCCAAACTACCATCAAATCTCCGACAGGCGCTACAGTTGTTCATACATATGCTTAAAATTTTGAAAATACCAAACTTCTCTCAAAGAGAAATTAGGCATGTCAGTGTCCAGCAAATATTGGGTACCTAAAACAGGGACATCTCGGCAACTCCAGGGCAGACGAGGTTGCCAAGACAACCACATTACTCCCTGACATTCATTGCTCAGATATTGATATCCTTAGCAAAATTGGGCAGATAAGGAGCAAACTGCACTCCACCTCATGTGTCAGTGTCCATCATTAGCTAGGAGAAGATTTAAATTGTTTAAAGACCTTTTTCCAACCGACCTGACAGATTGGCTCACTTTCACTTGAATGGGTGAGTCGTGCCTTTTTGCGTTCTTCATACGCAGGCAAGAGGTCAGGTCAACTAATCTTTGGCGTCACAAGTGGCCATTATATAAGCTGATGAGAGCTTTTGGGCACAAGGCTGCGATCCAAACCTAACATAGCCTAACTTTATAAACTATTCCCAAGTAATGCTATATTGCACCAAGTGGTTTACTTCAATAATGAGTTCATGTAACGATAAGTAACGATCAGTGTCGTCAAACAGCGGACTGTTACTAAAATTGGTTGAGACCATATCACAGCTGGAACTACAGCGATTTTGTGCAGGGTAAAGCGAACGACAAACGACAGGATTTGCATGTGAAGCTACATAACTGAGTGCATGAGTAGGCATCTGTGTGTATGTATGCTGTTAAAGCACAAGCGTATGTTATGTTAAATGCATTTATGCGCTCATAACAATTTTCTTTCTTTTGTTTTTAATTCATTTAAATTTTTGCAATTTCTTTAAAATTGAATAAAATTTCTTCTCCGTTTCCAGAACGCGAAAGAAAGGTTTCTCGTGCTGCATGCAACTGCGTACAACTGTCGATTCGTAAAACTTTAAATACTCGCAATGCAATCCGTTCGACGCCAATGCTTCAGTTTAATTGCTAAATGCATTTTAATTGTCTTTCTTTTTAAATGCCTTCCATATCGCTTATACTTATCCTTTAACACTTTTACATCAGTTTGTGTGATCACGACTCAGTGGCGTCTACAGTTGTAAAACAAATGTGGCACGCAATTGCATTAAAAAATAGTAAGCTTTATTGAAAGTATGGCATACCAAACACACTTTCCATTACTACACCTAAGTACATTATAAGTAGATTGGAATATGGCGGAACGTGTGCTGGACAAGTAAACGGAGGTCAAAATTGTGTAATTTTGTTAAAAACTTCTTTGATTCCAAATTGTCGGATGTAATGATTATAGGAAGTATTTGACTCAATTCTAAGTTAACTGTACATAAGTATGGATCTAGATATGCGTAGATAGGGATGTTGTGTCCCATCTTCAAGCGCTAGTAAAAACCATGTATAAAAGTTGTGATAGGGTATGCCTAGCCTGATTCTATGTTTTATTGAAGTTACTTTTATCAAGGTGTGTAAGAACAGAAATATTGTCCTTAAGTTTTACCAAAAAGCCAATCGTCTGACTCAGGCTGTAAGCATGCGGAATCAATTATAAAGACAAAAATATGATCTGGTTACGGATGCACAGAATGCAGAGAAAGTATGAAAAGAATATTTCTCTAAACTACAATCTGGCGATAACATCATCAGCTGTGCCTTTGAAGAAATGCTGTCGTCCCTAATAAAAAGTGATGATGTTAAAATTCCATCACCCAGCTATAACGAAGTGAAGTTGCAACCCGTAACGGAATGTTATGACCATTCAGGTTTGTAGTAAGTGTTTCTATCCTGTTTCTGCTCATTAAATATATTGGAATAAATAAGTCATCATAAATCTGGCTGCTAAGATAAGATAATCCTAATTTGTGGTGGTTGATCGCAACAACTTGTCAAAAAACAAAACAGTCTTCATAAGGAAGGGTCCATAAAATCAATGTTACAAAAACTAAGGTAGAAATGTAGTTAACAATTGTTAGACAATAATTGAATTCGTAGTGACAAAGAGTAAAAAACTGTCAAATATATATTAACATAAATACCCTTTCATGTTAATTGGATTAAGTCTCTTGTGTAGTCCAGAATCTTGTATCGTCATCAATTTTTCTTGGATTAGAATTTCTACTAAACTAAGATATATTTAACTCTATCGTTTCACAGTTCAGTACACGTATTATCGAACATTTCATGTAAAATTTTTCTGACGTAAGTTTTCGTAGGAAAGTGCTATTATATGTAACCAAGTAGAATTAATTAAGGATTCGAATTAACAAGCGTGAAATGTAGAGCTAAAATGTGCACACTATTAACAATATTTCCACAGCCTAAGAACGAATAAAGTTTTGAATTACTGAAAAAGTTTATAATATAATTTTTGCGCAGATTTATCACTCATACGTCATGTTGTGCCGCAACTTATGTCGTTCTCACTGCAATGTTAAGCATTTATGGCCCATAAATTTGCTTTACTGTCAGAATAAGAACAATAAGATATATTTTCGCAATTATTACATGTTCTTAAGCATTAAAATAATAATTTTAATTTTGTTTTTTGCATGAAGACGTGCTCTTAAGCGCGTCTTCAATAACACTGCATTCAATTGAGTTTCAATGCAAAAAAAAAATTTTAAAATGAAGCAAAAGTACAAGCATAACTATTTTTCAACAAATTAATCCTTAGTAATTTATTTAATTTCAAGCATTCTTGCTTTATCAACTGCTTATTATTAAATATTTTATGAGTAGTTTATAAAAAAACTCATATATTTTTGCTTGGATTGCTTTATTTCGAATACTCACCCAGAAATGTTTCGTGCTTTGGCATGTACTCTTGCATTTCCGATAGCAGCATTGCAATTTCCTGTGAGTCTTTTGTGATGCTACATAATTCTTCCTGATTGAAATCCGGAGTTATTTGCTTGCAAAGCAAAATTTGGCTTATAACATTGCCGAGATTCGAAGGGCCAGCGCGATTTTCTACAAAAAAATAAGAGTAGATCCATTGATTAAAGAGATATGCAAATTGACTGAGATCTAAAAAGAACTTAGTTAGTTCTGTAGTATATGCGGCAATAATAAAAATAACGACAACAGCAATAAAAAGAAGACAATGCAGTAGAAAAAAGAAAATCTGCAAATAAAAAATCTTCCAAATTGAATTCCTCATATATTTTTTTTGGCTTATAGCGTCAACAACAAAGGCAACAGCAAGAAATGCAGTTTTTAAAACAGCATTTCCTTTACTTGCATACCCACTTATTATATTACATACCGCAGGATTTGCAAATAAATGAAATTTTTTCCCCAAGGTTCAGCCGTGCATGACTGCTCATATCCTAACTTCAAACCAACAGAATAAAAAGTCCTTGCTTGCTGACTCAAGTTTCGTTGTTGTTGTGACTATGAGGTTGCTTTTATTTCAACCTCATCGTTTCTCATTGTTTATTTCGGTTATATGGCTGTATTCCATTTTCGCAAAATACAACCACATATTTACCTCATAATATGTCTAAGAAAATATGTCGAAAATGCATGAAAAACAAAATCGTAAATATTTGAAAAGGACATTTGTTAAAGCACTCAAAGCTGGCAAATGGGACAATGCAGCTGCGGGTATGCTCAGCATGGCTTCATCGGTAATTGGATTTGAATTTGAATTTGAATTTGAATAAATTGTGGCACTGTTACTGCAATACAAAGCTGCAACCGCTTTTAGTAGTGCAAACATTTGAGATGAAAAGGTCAAAGAAGTTGCAACCAAAGCAACTTGCATTAAACAAATAAATTAATTTCAATTTCCGAAGAATCAATAGCAACGCAAGTGGAAAGTTGTAAACTTAATTATTTCATTAAAATTTTAAACTAAGGATGCGACTAAAGCGATACGTTAACCCAGCCGATACGTTGCCCAGCAATATGCTAATTGATGAATACTTTAAGTGTACAATCTTTAACCATGTCATAGCCAGTAAAAACTGTAAGATACTAATTTTAATTTTCTTTACTGAAGTTCAAAATATATTAAATTTAAATATATTCGAAATATATTCAGTTTAAACACGTTTTAATACTGTTTAATACCATAATGTGAACAACATCACCAACATCACCTTTTGCTGATTTAATAAAATTTAATTCAAGATCACGATTAAATTTGTATATTTGTATATAGTTTGTTGCCATCGAGTATAAAATACAACATAGTTTTAAAGTTTTCCAAGGAATATCTTTCAATACTGAATCCTTGTGAAGGAATTTTCTTCTCATATTTGAGGAGATTTATTTGTTCATTTTTAAAGTTTCAAGGTTTTAAGGATGGTTCCCATAAACACAATTCTCTGTGTAACTCCACTTCATAGTAAGTCTATTCTTACTTACCAAAGTCCAGTCAATGTAAATGCTGTATTAAACTAAAAATATACTGGATATATTTAGAGCTCTTAAGTGTGACAAAAAACAACACATTGTAAAAGTTGCTAAAACTTACGAAAAACAACAGCACTACTTTCTCTATCTAAGCGACTAGTTATAAAAAGACAAAATATTTTAGCGACTGTAGAATAAATTATTGCCAAAGTGATAAAGGATCTATTGTGAACCTTCATTGGAACAATCTTCAAGAGATATCCCAGTCATCTATTAAAAGCTTGTGAACAAAAATTCAAACAAAAATTAAAAGTTTCACAATTTGAAAATTATAGATGTGCAAAAATAATGAAAATGAAATTAAAAAGCGCTTTAACAGATTAATACTTATTAAGTATTCTAAACTATAACTAATTTTGTTGTAAAAATTATTTCAAAATTTCTTATATTCTTAACATTGCTTTTAATTGATTATTTATTTTAGTTTTCAATTTTATATTAATTATTTATAATTAATTATTTTTATACAAAGTGTAGTTTGCTTGCATTTGACAAAATATAACAATGATTTCAATATTTAACTTAGCGACTATAATAAGCAACTTGTTGTTTTTTGTCAGACTTCGAAACTGGCGAATGCACCTAACGTTATGAATGAGAGTCCTGTTTGACATACGTCATTGAAAACAACTCGACAATGATCGAGTGAAAAAATTAAAACTTTATAATATTCATATAATTTGTATTTTTTGCAGAAAATTATTAGTAAACTATTATTTTATTTAGAATTTGTGAAGTTCAACTATTACTTAAATTTTTTAATAGAATAGACTGCCGGTCTATTCTATTTTTTATTGATTAAATTGACTTAGTTTGGTATTACTCTTAATTGCCTTTCTGTCATTTAAACAATTAGCGAATTGAAATTACATTAAATAACACTTAATCATATTAATTTTGTATTTCTGTTATTATTTATTGTTGTTTGATATTTGACTGCTCACCAATTGACTGCTTTCACCAATCTACAAACAACATCTGTGAAGCGAAATAGGGGAATTTTTGTCGAAAAAATAACAGAAAAAGCACTAATTAACTGCAGGAAAATTCCAATTGAAATGTTTTTTCAAATTAGACGAAAAATATCATGTAAAAAGTAAGGAGAAAAAAACCCACTTGACCTTGAAATAAATTTAATTCAATCGGATTATTTTTCTTTTTTTTCATGTTTGTTTTCTATTCATTCATTTATAGCATACCATTCTGTTCTCATTCACTCGCTGCTTATTCACTTTAACACTTGAACGAGAACGACCACGCTGAAATGACTTCTCTTCTGCAATACTAAATACTAAGTACAAAAACCTCACCAATACAGACACACGGCAGTCCAACAACAGTGCAGTACCCCACAATTACATTTCATTCACACATCTGATTTGTTGCGGGTCTCCAACAAGGTTTAGTGTGCTGCTGCTTTGCTGTGCTTTGCTGCTGCTTTGCTGCTTGTTTTATTGAAGCTGCTGCTGTATTTGCTATTTGTCTTTCTTGTTGATTTTCTTTCATTACCGCAAAACATTCACTATTTTTTTTATCAGTGACACTTTTTTTACTCAATCTATTAACGGGTTGAAGGTATTGACATTTTTAAATCGACACTAACGACAACAACAACAACAACACCCACAAACACTATTACAACTACAATATCAGAGCAATGAAATGCAATCGCAGGAAAGCAGTAAAGCAGTAAAGCAGTAAAACAGTAAAAGCGAATAATAGTAAAAAGGGGAATGTGTAGGAAGTTGAAGAGGAAATATACATTTTTTTATGAATTTATATTGTGATTGTAATCAATATTACAGTTATGCCTTTACGTACTGTTAACGTCATTTCTATTGTTGTTGTCATTATGCATTTAATTGCTGCTAATCAAATTGCTGTGGTCAATGGTACATTGTTGTACATCTTTAAAAATATGAGAAATTTCTGTAAAAATGAGAAAATCATTCCATTGCGATATACAAATGATGAATGCGTAATTATCTTTTAAGAACTCTTTACATATAATTGGAACTGAAATTTTATATTTTTCATGTAATAAAATAGTGTCTAGTTCCACAGTCGCCAGTTAAACTTCTGTTAATTCAAATCTTACAAAAGTTTTAACACCCTTAGTGTTTCTCAGTCACTTTAAAGCCGCAATACTATAGGCTATTGTAGTGCATTCTGACAAGTTTAATGTTAAGAAAGTATTGTTAAGATCACTTCATGTTAAACAGTTTATGTTAAGAGAGTTAGGTATGAAAGTTGTGTATTTTGACTTACAACTATATTTTGCTCCAAAGTGAAAGCTGATAAACACCTAAGAATATACTGCTCTTGGTTAAAAATCATTATATCATAATTTACATATCTACATAAAATATATAAAAGCCGAGAAACTAACAGTTAAGGTCAACTTACTAATTAACTAATATAAAAATAATACAGGAGTGTTTCTACACAAAATCAAATGGCAGTGTTTGCAATTTTAATAATTTATATATCAGTGTTTTAGTCCCTTATTATAATTTATAGAAGCTTTTCATTAAAGTCGTTAAAACTTTTAAATATTTCATTTTAAAGCTAAGAATCACCGAGCGCAAAGATACAGACTCAAAACCGGTACGTCCAGAATTAATAGCGTGATTTCCTGCCGTGATGGCTTAACATCACGGTGTTCTTTACACATGCATCGGTACATTGCGTCGATGAACGCCCCATTGGAATATCCTTAGTAATTCCGCCGGTTACCAATGAAGAAATGTGAGCAGGACATGACTTCCACCTTGGTTTGATTCGAGGCCAACCTATACCTCTGCTACAATGTGTGTTGTAACACCCGGTGGTGAATACGCAACTCCACGCCGAATGTGAAGTAAAACTGAACATTCTTTTAACGTAAGTTTGGGTATCAATCACAGCCACTACGAGTCCAACCTCAATTGGTCAGCACAGCCGAAGCTGTGGGCCACTGACCTTCGTAGTACCAGATACACCTCTGGTCAGGTTTCGCAAGTGCTGTGTCACTTACTACCATGCACATTCCTGCACAAGTGTAGGCGTGGTACCGGGATTTTGGTCGCTTTCTACGATCGCCTTTGACGCAAACAGTCAAGAGCGGTACAACACATCTTAACTTTTCTATTCCGTCAATGAAAGTTAAAACAAGAACCATATGTAAACTGCTTAGCTGTCACTTCTCCTTTTACTTCTCTCTCATAATACATATTTTTTCTATGTACCGTACGCAAACATTGTATTTGATCCAGTATAAATACTCTGTAAATTTCAAGCGTACTGTACCGCTATATACTACGACATCTACATCTGTACTCCTATACACCACAAATGCTTAGAGATGCATAGAGCACTGTACTGTACCTTAGCTTATATCTTCGTTTTTGTTTATATCTTTTACCGCATGAAATCGATCTGGATTCTTTATTGTTTGAATATATTTGTGGGAAGACTAAAGAAACAAATATCTTATTATAATGGAAGTATTCCATGCCATTAAACTGACCCTGGCTTTTGAACAAAACATATAAGAATTAAAACATTTATTTATGAGTTGATGTTTTGTTGATATTATGTAGACGCCGTTTGAAAGTACTCTCTAACTTCTTCCTCGGGGTGGGTTGGATTCATTTGCTGTCAGTTTAAGCTTGAATTTTGGTCACAAAAGCCTGTGTAAATTCATTTACACTCATTCATTTAGAAAGAAACTGATGTACTCAAATATTGTAACAGTTGTAAATTTTTAAATACTTTTTTTATTTTATTGAAATAAATTTTAATAAATGTAATACTAAGTGACTTTATTACAAACACAATTAATATTCTAATATATTTCAATGTATTTCAAAAAAGTTTTTCAAATTACTTTAATGCTGCTATGATACTTGGAACTATTTTATATAGTGTCGCGTCCATTTTAAGCTATTGTTGAAACTATATCTTAAGTGACTATAATGATAAAAACTTCTTTCAGGAAAAAATAATCACTAATTTGTATGAAATAACTTTCATATAAATAATATTCCATTTCAATATTGGTCCTCATACACAATCGTATAGTATCTTTTAAAGAATGCATATAGCGTAGTTTATAAAAAGTATCTATTCAACAATTATGTACATTTCATTGTCTGAATAACATATATAGTTTTTTTTGCGCATATGTCGAAGTTCTTTTATGCACTTGTGGCTTAAGTGCATGATTTAAAGTAGATATGTTAAGTGAAAGGACGAAAATATAGAAACACATATGCCACAAACGTAAACGGGCGAACAGATTTCAGGCGAAAACTTTAGAAATGCAAGCAAACATTTATGCATTTCACATTTGCGGGGAGCGATTGGATCAGAAATGAGAAGTGAGAAGTGAGAAGTGCACAATCTGTTAGTTTATGTAAATTGCGCTTCAGTTCACAGTAAAAATCCTTAACGTATCCTTCAAGGAAACTCCCAAGTTGGACAAGTGAAAGCAGAATGCAATGCAAAAATACTTACAAGCTGATTGCGTTCTAGGTGGAATGTATGGAAAGTTCTTAAATGTGCTAACAAAATGTTCACAAATAGACGAGCTGTAAAATTTACTCCGCAGTTCCATTGAACAGAAAGGGAGAGTGACGCAACAAGATTGGATAAATTCTAAAACAGGACATGCAAAACGGTGAAGAACCAATCGATCCGCAAATTTTATGCACAGTTGATTAGTCGGAACCTGAAGTAGTAGTTGAAAATTTGAAGACATTGAAATGAGTGAAAAAGTGAACCGATAAACATCTACCGATGAACCGATGACTAGAAAATTAAGTAATGCTAGATAAAAATTTTCTTTACACAATTCTGATCAAAAATGAAAGCAATTGAGATCCACGTTAACTCTTATTGAGTAGATTTCAAAAAGTTGTAAACGGAGAATAAAGAATTGCTTAATTTGATTACGACTGAAATCCATTTATCACTATAATTTAATTACAGTTTCATGCCTTACTTGATTGTAGGCATATTTTACAGCTTTACTCTCTAAGAAATATGGTGAAGTATTACAAACATCTTAGATGACAAAATGCAATCTTCTTGAAAAGAGGATTGTCTCTTTAACAATCGAAATAATTGCAGAACAAAGAAGCTAGTAGAAGGTGTTATTATTCTTGAACATTTTGTTTCATTTAATTTGGTGTTGCACTTCAAAGCACTTCTTGATGCTGCTTACCATCTCCACCCATCAGAAGACACATTGTGGCAGAGCATTGAGCAGACTAAGCGAACAGTTGTCAGCTGCAATGCGAACATGTGTTTTTAATTTGCGGTCTCATTGATGGCTCCACATGCACGTAATGCAGCGCATTTGCCTTGTGGTAATTGCACTTTGAATGGCAAACGTTCATGTGAAGCCATTATCACACAAGAGCTTGCACGACTTGAGCGTCGTTTACTTACCATAGTAGCCGGACATGTCCATTGGCACCACTTGCACCAGGCGGTAGCTTTTCACTAACTCGCGGAGGAAAAGTTGCGCCAAATAGAAGAGCAACACTAAGTGAGGATTGTCCGTAGGAATGCCATCGGCCACAGCACTGCAAAGATAAAAGAAAACAGAATGATATTTCAGCACAATTTTAATATGAAATCATAAAAACTTTTTTATTGTTTTTATGAATTTTAAAATATATTTTTATTATTAACTTGAGCACACTGGAACACACTGCATCGAATGATAGGAAGATATTTGCACAGCAAATGTGAAGTGCGTAAAATGTGAAGTCATAACAAGGTCTGAAGTTTATCATGTGAAGGAGAGATTGTTAGAGAACATTTGACATTATGTGTAAAAACAAAAGAGATCAATGACGTTAACTTTTGGCAAAACCAAAGTTGACGTCATACTCTTCACACAGATAATTGTGTGAGTGTAAAGAATTAGTAAATCACTTTTTGGTTACATTGGGAATTAATGGACAAGGTGGAGTATACGTATACCATGTGAAATGTGTTAAAATCGACCGATTTCCGACAGTTATCAACAAGATTGGTCTGGATTTACAAAATATCCTTTTTCAAAATTTCAATCGTTTAATACAAAACCTGAGGGAACCAACCAACAGAATAATAGAGAAATATACCATGCAGATTAGAGATTAGACAGATAGATCTACATTTCATCGAATCCGATATTGCATTTTTGCGCAAGTGCAGGTCTACGTAATATTAATATTGCAGAAATATTTTTAAAAAGTTGTCTATGTAACCGGAATTGATTATTTAAATGCAGACATAGTTTAATTTATTAAGCGTTTCTTAATTGCAGCAATTGGAGTTTTTGTAGTGGGTTCAGCTGTTATGAATATGAACTCCTCATGCATGAGTTTGTACACGAAGCCTGATATTTTTCCATAACATGTTTAAGGATTAAATTTTCATAGAGGAAATCATTTTTGTTGTCATTAAATTTTTGCAAATGGAAATTGATAACTGAAACTCTATTTGGTTTCTAACATTTGTTACCACTCGTTTTTTTGAACAATGTTACTCAGACTTAAGAGGGCTACAATACCGACACCTTACTAACATCTTGTATGCTAGCTCATCAGTGGCATAAGACATCCAAAGTACATCGTTTAGTTAGGTACTCAGAAAGTGAAGAATTTTATTTATAAATGTGGCGTAATGCACAAAGTAAGGCAGTTTCAGTATGTGAAACCGAATAAGTATTTTTAAGTTTTAAAAGCTGAGGATAACTTAAGACCTTGGATTGCTAATAACAAGATCAGTTTCTACATTTCACATTCCAAAATCAAAAATGGTTTCTACAAAATCATTTTTTTTTATTGACCGGTAAGTACAGCAAAATAATAGATGACAAGATCTACGGATTTAATTTTCAAACACAGTGTCTGGGAAAACATAATGTTTTGAATTCCTCGGCGACTCTTTGTTGGAAACCAGAAAAAATTACCAGATCTTTGTATTGGTTTTAGTTTTTCTTTTCCATATGGAACTTAGTTATCAGCGTATAATATAGTAAGAAGGAGGATGAAGATGGTTGGCTTAATGATAATTTCACTGTAAATGAAGCTTTCCCGTTAAAAATAAAGCATTTTTATTTTTTTAATATTAGATACTTTTATTCAAATAAAAAATGAATAAGAGATATGCAAAACACTAGACAAATTGCTGACAAAACATTAAATTTTGGAAATGGAAAAGAATAACATCCTAAATGAGGATAACAATATCTCAAGCCATCACCAAATAAATTTTTTACAGATCGTAAATTTATTTCTATTCTCAGTAATTAGTGATTGAGAAATGGTATGCACTTGATAGTTACTTTTAAATCTGAATAGCAGATGATATTAATGAAAACTGATGAAAAACCGCATCAATCTGTAATCAATAACTGAAAACACTTGGATTATATACCGATTTTTAAGACGAAATATTTACTTTTAGTGCTTGCATATAGCAACTTCTTGTTATTACGAGTAACTAATAAAATGAAGTGTGAAGAAGACATAGTAAAATTTAAACAGGACATGCAACTACTGAAGTGTTTTCGCGTGTCAGCATAGTCACTCAGATGAGTTGAGAAAGCTCTCAAGTTATTAGTAAGCCAATTAGTAAGCCAGCTCTAACAGGGCATTATTATTATTTGTTTAAATCTATTCTTTATTCACATCAACATCTTTAAATTGACCCCTTTTCATTAATGTTATCCATCATAGAGGAAGAAATTATATTGATATAGACATAGATGCATATATACACTTGATATCATCAAAGTCTGTCATCAAAGTCCAAGAAGGCTAAGATAGGGTACACCGAAAGGAAATTTCCAAAAACAATATCACACAACCAAAGAATACTACAGCATGCCTACACCATATTCTTACAAAAGCAAGAACATCTCACACCAAGTAATTTTGATGTAAGTTTACAGTGTATAATCAGAAATACAAATCTACTGCTGTTCAATGGTTAGACAACACTCCTACCTATTATCACTCCTACATGTAAGCCTAAGGAATGAGAAATATCTTTAAATTGAACGAAAGGGCTTTAGTTGTAATAAATTTTGCTAGTGAACTTATCACACCCTTTGGATTATCCAAGCACTTCTGAAAGTATAATTATAGAGTTGAGTATAAAAAATTTAATATACAAAAGGTGGGAATTTAAAAAATAATTCTGCCACTCCATCTCTTAGCTTAGTATTGTCGAAAACAATGGCACTTAAACGAGTATGAAGAATTCTTAATATTTTCAAACTTTTAAATCTTAAAATAATTATTTGATATAATTATACACTCACAACTGAACTTGTTGGTATTTAAACTGAACGTGAACGTGAACGTGAACGTGAACGTGTGCAACACAGTACAGTAAATGACTTGAATATGCAACTGAACACAAACATTTAGTATCACATCCGCTCTACATACACCTTAATAATGTTGTAAAACATTTTCCGATGACTTGTAATAAAGTGAAATATTTTTATAAATTTTCCAATACGAAAATGTGTTTCCTGTTTTCATAAGGTCGAAATTCTTTTGCAGAGTACAGACAACTTTTCAAAACCAAACAACAAATTTAGTGAACAAACATGCAAGCGTATATACACATAGATAGACATGTATGTATTAATGTGTCGCTACTTCTATACATAAATACACAAACTCGCGTATATAAAGTTCTCAACTTTTTATCTTTGCTAATCTGAAAGTAAATTTAATAAACCTTAACAGGCCAAACCGAACCAAAATCGGCTGAATCATTTACAAACCTGCCAGATACAAACTTTCAATACATTCCGTGTGCCTGACATTGGCATTGGCATTGATATTGAAACTGTTTGTATGTCTTGTATTGTATTTCTTTCCTCCACTTACCATTTACCATTTACCACTTGTCTTGCGAACGTGAAGATATTGTCATAACACGAGTGAGTGGAGAGAAAAGTTCACCGTACAAAGGAATGCAAAAAGCTACAAACGTTAAATCTTCCATAAAAAAATTCTTCCACTCGAAAGTATGAAGAAATTTTTGAAGTTTTATTTAAGTTTTCCTCAGCGTATACTGTATGCTTCCGATAGAGGAAGATTACTTTTTTATGTGAAAATCACAAAAATATCTCAAATGTGAAAAAAACATAAAAATTCAAGAATTCTAGAATTCAAGAATTTAAGAATTCAAAATGCAAATAAGACAAAATTTTAGTTGGAAAAAGTTGGAGTCAACACTAAAGTCCACATGACGTATGAGTGATGTTTGTTTGTGAAATAAGTTGAATGAGTGCTTAAGTCAATAATGGCAGATTTACTGTGAAAATGGTAGATACTCGTCTCCAATATAAGTACGAGAGTTTGAGCATATTTGAGTATATAATTTTTATAGGAATGCTAAGTACCTATAGCGAGTAGTGCAGACAGAGAACGTGAATGATGATTCAGATAAAAGAAGATAACATTAGTATAACGTAGCAAGACAAAGTTTAAGATAAGACAGACTAACAGTTGACATTTCTAAAATACACAATGATAAAAAAATTAAATGAAATTTTCCCTTTGAGAAGAAAACTCACATCTGGAACAAAGTTGACTGAGTGGAGAGCAAAAGAAAATATGTAAGTGGGGCGCCAAGATAGACATTTAGAAAAATAAGTTCGTAAATCTAACAAATGAAGTTATCAAAAAAAGTGATACACGTAAGCCATCCACATGAACTGCAAATAAATTTAAAAGTTCCAAGTCTTTTTCCCTTAGCTCCTTCACCAATATCCTTTTTTCTATTATCACGCGCATCTCTTCAGTTTATTTTATTAGTGAACGCACACAGACACTTTATGTCTCGAATGTATCGTATGTAGTTGTGTATGCATACATGGCAAGTGTGTGTGTATGTATATATACATATGTGTGTGTGTGTGTGTGTGTATGTGTTGGAAAAAAGTTTGATAAGTGGAATTACATGCATGGCAGTCGTGGCGTATTTGTTACGCCATTTTGTAACGAACATCAAAAGCAAATTTACATGCAAAACGAGCTGAAGAAGTGGGCACCCATATTATGTATGCCAACACCGCCAAAAAGCCGAGTCAAATAGCTCTTTGATCTTTGTGTGTTTTCAGAAATTTTAAATAAATTTGAAGATCTTTAAATTTCCCGAAAAATATTAAATAATTTATGTTCCTGGAGGCAAACAATTGGATACAGTATTTCCTTGTTGCAGGTGAGGTCAAGTGCAATGTTGAAAAAAGAAGTAAATTGTATAAAATTTAAAAGAAATAGATTGTTTAATAATTCTTTATAGCACAAGATTATTGATTAGATAGCACCAATTTAAACGGTTAAAAAATAAAGTTTATATAAAAATTATGAGATTATTTTTCCATTCAAATATTGCTTCGGAAACTCTACTAGGAACCAAAATCATTACGAATTGTAATTATTGTTATTTTTTAAATATCTAACTAAAAATGAACTAGAAGGAAAGTGAACCGATTTTTTTAGCGGTAGTGTTTCAATTTTAGTATTTGTTTATTCAATATAAGCTTCTAGGGCAGTATCGTAAAATA